TCGAATTGTACATAACTTATGTCGTTTGCTCTTAGTATGTTTCTAACCCCTTAATCCTCATTATGGAGTCTTAAACATGGCTTAGAAATGCCTAGGATGCAATGAGGATGCAAGAATGCGTTGGAAAATATTTCTCAAGATTTGCTGAAAATAAGGTCCACGCTCGAGCGTGACTTCCCTCGCTCGAGCGGACATGCAGACAATGAAGCTTCGCTCGAGTGTGAATCTCCTTGCTCAAGCGTACTGTAAACTCATGAAAAAGTGCTAGACGCATGATTTTTACGCTCGACGGGCGCTCGATCTACGCTCGAGCGTGAGACTCAGAACCTCGCTCGAGCGGACTGCAAAACACAAGAACTTCTGGGTATATGCATTTCATGCTCGAGCGTAGACTTCTACGCTCGAGCGGAGTGCACGTACTCAGAGTCCACGCTCGAGCGTGGATCAAATTTCTAGAAATTCTAGATTTGATCACCAAGCTCAATTTCGACCTTTGAAGCATCAAACTCAATTTTTTGGGCCCAAAACTTTGGAAAACACTTAATAACTTATAGAACAACATGTTTGAAAGATCATTTCAAGAAATCATGGCCCAAAAGGATATTAATTTTGCACAAACTCAACTTAAATTCAAAATCAATTGATGAACATCACATGCAAGTACATTTTTGAGCTAAGGCTCTTCAAAACATGATCAAATGCTACCAAATCACATGAAACTCATTGTTTTTCCAAAATCAAAATAGACTCAACACATGCATGAGGGAATTCTTGAAAATCATCCTTCAAAATGCTATGAAACATGCATGCATGCATGAGTTCATTCTTAATTCCCAACTTTTAATTCAATTCACATGTAAATTCGCCTACGTAACTGATTTCAAGCATTAATCAACTAAATTACAAGGCTAGAGACTAACATTCTTACCTAAAGTTGATTACAAGTGTGATCCTAACTCAAAGCTTCAAATTATTTTCAATCTTCTAGCCAATTCCCCCCTTGTGAAGTCAATTCTTGAACTAGGACCCAAATCTCTCAACTCTCTCTCTCTCTCTCCCGTCTCTTGCATCAGTTGAAGGGAATGAAAATAAGAAAGGCAACTTAGTGGGGTCCAAAGACCTAATAAGTGGTAATTGACAAAATAAAACAAATAGCATTATTTTAATCAAATTTAGTCGTTCCGAACCGAATTTTAATTAAGTCTTCCATAAAATTCTATAAATTCTAACTAGCACATAAATCAAGTCAATTTCTGATTCGAATGCCGATAAGGCTTTCAATTTACATATTAAAGCGGAATTTCAGACAGATGTTTCTACAAGTAACAGATAGTGAGCCAAATATCATGCAAATCACATAATAAACTCATATTTTATTTTATTCACTTAATTAACATCCTTAACTACCGATTAGTGACTAATTGTGGATTGGGGTTATTATAGTCTACATGGCACTGTTTTTATTTCTTTTATTTGGTGATGTATGTACTCCATAAGATACTAACTATAAAGGTTTTGACAACGAGACAAGGATGGAAAGGAGCTTGGACTTGTTGATTTGTATCACAAGACACACTTAAGTCAGAAAAGGCAAGCATGGGTCCATAATGAAGTTGAAATTAGACATGTAAGAATTTTCTAATGTTAAATATAAGTATTTTCCTGTTAATGATTACATGTCTAAGGCTCATGTGTTGTGAATCTTTAGCACTAAGAACGAACAGTGTAAATGATTATGAATGTAAATGATTAGGACTAGACCATCCAAGGGGTTTTTGAGTTACAAATGGCTACTAGATTTTGTCCTTGCTGCCCTGGCTGTGTATTTGATATTTGGCAATATAGAGAAGACTACCTATTGGTTACTTGCATTGAGAACTACTCACTTGTTCTTAAGTTTGGAAATATTAGAGTGAAAGTTTATGAGACAAAATGGTATGATTTGAATATTTACAGCATTGTTGCTGCAAGGCTAACGTTTGGTAGGAGCTTTAACTGTATAGGCATTGACCTAATAATCCATCTTGGTCTAACTTGGGCCTGAGACCGTAAACTATGTCATGCTTGATCCAGTGATAAACTTACCAAGGGTAGCACTAGAAATGCAATTCATACTAACTCAAATAAACTGGGTATTATTAATTAATGTTTGCTAAGCGTGAATAATGAAACTTATGATTGATATGCTTCTGTAGGTTTCCTGGTACCTAGAAACAAGGATGGCATGGCATCTAAAAACGCATGTTTGAAGAGAATATTAGACCTGTTAATACTTTAAAGTTAGAAAATTCAGCTTTTGGGAAATGCTACTTTAAAGTTAGAAAATTGAGCTAGAATATTAGACCTGCTACTAGATTATGGTGCTTTCTCTACCAGTTATTATGTTCTCTCTAGGATAAGTAAATAGGAAAATCAATGTCTTTAGTTGCTCTGTTACAATGTATATATAAAATGACTATATTTAATTTCATGAACAATTGTAGAAAAAACTTATAGAACGGGAGAATGAAGCTATAGAAGATGGATCTGGCCCACTATCTGATGAGTAGCTTTCCATTGACGTGTTTGGGCGTAAGTCTGGCTACATAAGTGGTTTAGGATGTGGTCCTAAACCTAGTACAACAGCATCTGGTCGACGTACTCGTGCTATTCTTGAGATAGAAAATGAGGAAACTAGAAGGGAGCTTGAAGAGCAACGGAGAATCAATGAGGAACTGAATGCAAGAGTGCACAACTTGGAGTCAAATAGCGTGGAGGTCAATGCCAAGATTGACTTGGTGCTGCAACAGATTAGTCGGCGAGGTTTTACTTCTGATTTACCATCATAGTAAGTACCTTTGGCTCTAGATAGATCTGTCATAGTTATAAATTTAGTGTGTTTGTTATTTAGAACATTTGATTATGATAACGTGCTCGGATTATGATAACCTTATTGTGTTGATTCTAGGTGACTCACTTTCTTGTTGTGTTGATTCTTATTATAGCTCACTAATACTTCAAGTACACTGAGATAACGTGTTTTTTCATTATTTGTAACTTATTTGATTATGAATGACGATTGATTATTTAATGAGGTTATGCTGTGTTGAATATTTGATTCTTCTTTTTGAATTTTGAGTTGCAGGGATGTCCAAAGGGTGTCACACCTAAGTATAGCTTGAAGCCTCTTGTGCAAAGCCTGTCTGATATAAAGCCTGATATTGATGTTGAGAAAATGTTTTTTTAGATATTTTCTTTGAAGAAACTATGTTGCTATTCTTCATTTGAACTGTTACTACTTTGATTTGAATTTGGAAACTTTCAGTTTTAATTTTTGTCAAATTTACTTTCTATATACTCATTATGGTTTGGGAATAGAGTAGGTTTGATATATGGATGTCAATTTTTTTTTAATATGATTGGATGACATTTAATTTTGTGCATTTTAGCTATGAGATTAAATGATTACAAAAGTTAACTTTGATTTTTAGCGACGAAAATGTGTTGTAGAGAAAGTTATATGTCTTTTAGCGACCAAATATCATAGTCGTTAAAAGTGTCATTATTTTGTTTTTTGTGACCAAATTGGGACATTTTATGACGAAATATTAACGACCAAATGTTTAGTCTTGTAAAATTAAACATTTTGTGACAATATAAAATTGGTCGCTAATTGTCATTTTTGGGGACATTTTCAAAAATTGGTCGCTAAAGACTTTTCTAGACGCACTTTTAGTGACTTTTTTAGTGACAAAATTAATTTTGTCACAAAAACCATTTAGAGACTAAAATAATAGTTTTAGGGACTAAAATAATAGTTTTAGGGACCAAAATAATTGGTCGCCAAAAGTCTTATATGTTGTAGTGCATGGATTGACTTTTTGACTTTTTAGTTATTTGGCTATTTTAGCCTGGAGATAAAAAATCTCATTTGGGATAAATTTTTTAATTTTTTTGACTTTTGTTAGAGAACAAATGAAATGATTATGAATTAGATGTGGTATTTTGTCTTATTTGGTTAAAATAACATATTTTATCTTTTATGGCTATTTTAGCCCAAACTTGCTTCCCAAACATAGGGGGTGTTTGTTTGGGCTTTTTTGAGCCAACTTATAACTTCTAATTTTGGAAAAGTTATTCTGAACTGTTTGGTTAAACTTATTTCAAACAGTTTCTGATTCTAACAACTTATTTTGACTCAAAAAAATAGATTTCTAGAAATTGCTCGCCCCTTACTTCTGATTATCAGCTTCTGCTGTGGACATATTAATTTATGATTATACTCTTAATTTTTTTTTTTTATGTTTTTAAAAATATAAAAAGACCCAAATGAATTATAAAATATTATTATTATCTTTTATGAGCAATGTAGACAAGTATTGAATAACAAAAAATAAAAATTAATTGAAAAAGCTACTTCACAGCTTATTTAACAAACACTACTCAACAACTTAAATTTATAATCCAATAGGTACACCAAACAGATTAACAGTTTCTAATTAAAGTCATAATTTATAATATGTTAAGTTATGATTTATAATCTGTTTTGACAGTTACACCAAACAGGACCATAATCTTAAAAAAATAGTTGAAGTATAGGGACTTTTGGATGCAATTATATTTAATTAGTAAATACAATAGATTGATCTTCAATTTGCTTCAAGAATGGACTGATAAAATTGAAAAAAATTGGAGCAAAAAAAGCCATAGAGATCTCAATCCAAGCTATATTAGTGGTCGTTGCTTTGCTTCTTCATGACAAGAATCAAGACAATGAATATGTAGATAATTCTCATATTATTTTAGTTATAGCGTATTGTTAACGGGTGAAGAAAACCGATAATACTACCGTAAACTATACTATTAAATTTAACAATAACAAATCTTGTATTATCGAAACTTTTTTTTTTTTAAGCATTTGAAAATAATGAGAGAGAGAGAGAGAGAGGGGCAAACATTACGCTTTGGTAGCAAACCATTCCACAATATAAAGCATTCAACACACTAAAATAGTAATACACCGTTCGGTAATTCTACAAATCATAGGCTAGTGAGATTATTAAGAACACCACAACTCACAATAACATGTTTAACTAATTATTAATTTCGTACAACCTCCTCAGTGCATAATCCTTAAAATCGATATATCAGAATTGATATATTTCATTCTGTATTGTTAGTGGGTGTGGATTAGTAATCACCGGTTCATAGTTAGTTGTCCCATATTGCTCATCTATCTGCATATATAAAGAATTAGTGTATGTTAGTTGATGGAGAACTTTTAACATATATAGATGCACAAAGAACAAAATCATTCATTTTATTAGGTTACCTTTTCTTGAAGATAGTTGTTAGCTGCATTCAGTATCCCCTCCTAAAACAATAAAACATAATTATACTTCTTTACCTAAACAAGCTAAAAGAAAAGGATAATAATAGAATTGAAAGATTAGGTCAAGTAAAAAAAATCCATAACAAGTATAGGTTAAATGTATGCAACAGAGAGTAAATGTTATTTCGTATTAACAAAACACTATTGTATATGTATGATCAAGAGATTTATTGCAATGTCACACCAACCACATGCAAGTGCGAGATAGGAATCTAGGTTAGAACCCAAACCAGGTGATCATGCGTGGCTTGACCCGATTTAGTGGGAATAGACCCAACCATTGGTTGGTGACTGTTGGTTATGACTCCCTATTGGCTTGTGTCCCATAAGAGGTGACCATTAGGTGTATATATAAATACACGCACTATAACATATAAGAATTTTAGAAATCAAATTTTTTGATGACTAAAAGTAAAAATTTTATTGCAAAAGATATTTAGAGATCAATTTCTATTGTCGTGACGAAAGTCACTAAAAGGTCGTCATGAAAAGTCAAAACAAGCTTGTTAGCAATAAAATTTTAAAAATATAACTAATAAATAGACTTTTAGGGACAAAATAATTTGGTCTCAAAATTGTTTATTTTTTGAGATAAAAAATTTGGTCCCAAAATGATAATAATTTATCACTAATGTCCAATTTTCGTTGCTAAAAATATAATGACGATACTTTTCGTAACAAAAATATTTGGTCCCTAAAAAATAATTTTGTCCCTAAATTTTGGTCTCTAAAACCTTATTTTTTTGTAGTGACGTAATGCATTTAGCTCAAAAGACATTTGAATTCCAATAATGTATTGTATCTTCTCCCTTTACTCTCACTCTAATAAATACAATGAGTGTGTATAAAAGAAAATGTTATGGATCCTAAATGAATTACTAAATTTTTTAACAAACCTCTCACATGGGTGTAGAACCTACACAAATCACATGTGTGGGTCCCACACCCATGTGAGAGGTTTGGTAGAAAATTTGGTAATTTATTTGAAGCCCCTAGCGTAACTCGTGTATAAAAGGCTCTTGAATTGTGGAACCAAGAACTTTATTCAATTTCTATAATAGTATTTGTAGGGACATATTTTTTGGGTTGTCCATGTAGTCGAGGTTGTTAGCCTAGGTGCCACATGGATGGACCAAGTTGCCGAGATATGATGTGATCATATCTAAATTCGAGATATTCGGATAGAGGACAAGAGTCCTAGATGATATCAAGCTACCTATTTGGATAGAGATGGAACTCTTGAGGAAGTTCATCTTAATCTGAATAGTATGAGTTGTGATAGATGTTATCCTTGCAAATGATAAAGTCTCATGAAATAAGACTTCTAAGGGAAGTTGGACACTGATTATTATAAGAGTAAGGCACCCCTGCGAGTCTAAGATATGCCTTTATTTGAGATGCTTTGACTTGTGCATTGAGTACTTATTTGATATCTTTGAGAGATAATTTGATTGACTTGATCGTCGGAGTACTTCTAGGTGGACGAGTTACCGCGGTATTATCATCTTCTTGTTGACAAGTAGTTGACTTAATCTATTTTGCAACTTTATCTCCAGCTAAGTTCCCTGTTTGGTTGTGTGGTCAAAAATTAACACCCACAATATAGTGTCGTCTATGGAAACTTAGTATAAAATAAATAGCTAATAACGAACAGGAAATGAGGATCGGGGATGACATTTATAGTGAGGAGGAGGAACACATGGATTCTAATATTAGAGGAGGGAACAATAACGAAGAAGTACAGAAGGTCGACCTTGGGGCAAACAATGTCACCAAGAGCCGAAACGGTAACAAAAAAGGTAATTGAGATGAATATTGTCACGAAGGTGATCTCCATGTATGGAAGGATAAATGCCTAAGAAGAGATGAAGAACTGAAGAACATGGAGAACAAGTTGACAGACTTGCAGACAGTGGTCAACGTTACGATACAAAACAATGTGATGTGATCAATGTTTCCCTTGTAAGATACGCCTGCCTTAGCAGCCAAAGTCGATGTCCAAAAAGGAGGGCAGCAGGCAGTACCAACTGTCCCACAACATGCTAAGGGATGGGGAAATTCATATCGTTAATCACGAGATGCCGTGAGGACAGAGTCAATGCGAGAGAAGTCCCAAAGGACACCACAAACCAAGGACACCTATGTCAAGGGATCTTGGCAGATCCAAGAAAGGGGCCTCTGTTTTGATGATGCAGTGGATGTGAAGAAGTCCAAGAGAATGCATCCTAATGCAGAAAGCAGAGCGCCGAAAAAACTGAAGTCGAAAAACGATCGAGCTCTTAGACGAAAAAGGAGGATCTGAGAAATTACCTCCAAAAGAAGAGATATGATGCCAAGAACACATCCAACGCCCAGCTGAAGACGTTATTCTCGGTAGAGTTGGATGCGTTCGAAACACCGAAAATGTTTAGCATGCCGAGATTTCAGATCTATGATGGTAAGCCTGACCTAGACTTTCATGTCAGATTATACTTAAATTCAATGGCTTTGCGGAGTGGGAATGAGCAACTATTGTGCAAGGTGTTCCCATCGTCATTTGGGAAAATAGTATCAGATTGGTTCCACAAACTGCCAAAAGGATGTGTGAAGAGTTAGGAAATCCTAACCGAGATGTTTGTGGCCAGGTTTGTTACAGACAAATTGCAGCCACTGAGGGTAGACTCCCTACTGGTGTTAAAGATCAGCGATAGCAAAGGTCTTAGGGCCTATGCCAAAGGTGCTATGAGGTTTACAACTGGATTCCTACTTGTAACCAGGAACTCGCAGTCGTATCTTTTAAGAACGACTTAGATGATGATTACCCACTTGCAAAGACTCTCCAGAAGAATATAGAAGAACTAATGGCGCGGATTGAAAAAAAAAACCCAGGACTAAGAAAGTCTTAAGGCGATGTTCTTGTGGTGAATAAGGCGATTAACTTAGACTTGATGTGATGGTAGAGTTAAACTAAGTACAAGTGATGCTTTAATGTGAAACAAAGCAAAACTAGCCATGTTTTGGTCGGTTTGTGCAAAAAGTCGAGGTAGAAAGTACTTTTGGTACACTGAGGTCAAGCCTTAAGTATTTAGTTTGGGACGCAATGACCTCGGTCATGGACGTCATGACCTCGGTCATGGACGTCTAAGTTAGACTTAGACAAGAACCAGGCGATGTATTTTTATTGTGAATATAAGTGATACTTAGGTTCACATTAGGGGGCAGGAAGCATGAATAAGTATAACACTTGTAAAAAAAAAAAAAATTAGAAAAAGTTTACAAGTTAAAGTTATCTGAGATGATTGATAGAGATACTATCCAAGATATGTTACCCGATATGGCTGATCACTAAGCTAAATTTGAGATGATCAATCCGAGATGATTGACTAGTGCTATTGCCGAGGTATTTTGATCTGAGGTAAGCAACCAGGTTGTCAGACTTCAAATGATAAGAAAAAATCTAAGTATGAAAACATACAAGACAAAGAAGATAGCAAAGCATACGCAAAGTAGTTATGAAAAACAAACACCCAACACTTAAAACAAAAAAAAAAGAAAGGCATGCACTGAAGGAAGAGCCTAGGTAGAGCAAATCCCAGATCTAAGAAGACAAGATCTCGGCCTAGATGAGTAGGCCCAAGAAGACAAGAGCTCCATCTATGTGAGCAGATCCCAAATTCGAGAAAATAAGATCTCGACCTAGATGAATATGTCCAAGAATACAAGTGCTTAGCCTAAATAAGCAGATCTCAGATCCCAAAAGACAAGATCTCAGTCTAGATGACTGGGTACCTAAGTGAGTAGATCTCAGATCCCAAATCCCAGAAGACAAGATCTCGGCCTAGATGAGTAGGTTCGAGAAGACAAGGGCTCAATTTAAGTAAACAAATTCCATAAGACAAGATCTCGACCTAGATTAGTAGATCAGAGAAAACAAGAGCTCAGCCTAAGTGAGCAGATTTCAGATCCCAAAAAAAAAGATCTCGGCCTAGATGAATAGGTCTGAGAAGACAAGATCCCAGCCTAAGTGAGTAGATCCCAGAAGACAAGATATCGGCCTAAATAAGTAGGTTCGAGAAGACAAGAACTCAACTTAAGTGTACAAATTCAAGAGGAGAAAGCCTCAGCCTAGGTTGACAGATCCAATATGAAAAGAGTTTAACCTAGATGAACAATTTTGAGATAAAACAAAGCTTAGCCGAGATTAGAAGATCTTGACAGTAAGGGATTGTCGAGACCTTGGAATGTGGTTTGACGAAATTTGGAGCTCAACTCCAATGATGTCAATAACCTCAGCTGAAGTTAAGAATAAATTGAAGGAAACGACCATTAAAATGAAATCGAAGGAATGACCCTTAAGTGGGGAACGACCCCTGAGTAAGTTAACTTAGGCTTGCCAAGAAGTTAGAGCTGAAACTAAGTGATGTTCTAACGAGAAACTATGCGTTTAACTTAGACTTGTTGGGAAGACAAAGCTGAACTAAGTTAAAGAGATGTTTCAAAAAGAAACAAAGAGAAACCAACCACAATCTGGCTAGTTTGTACGAAAAGCCGAGGTAAGTAGTACTCTCAGTGCACTAAGGTTAAGCATTGAGTGTTCTGTTTAAACGAGCTCAACACGATGACTATGGTTATGGATGTCTAAATCAAACTTAGACAAGATTCGGATGATGTATTCCTAATGTGAACCTAAGTTGTATTTGTATTCACATTAGGGGCCAGAGAGCAAAGATGAGTTAATGAAGGCTGAGTCAGTGATTTGAAAGTGATACTTGGTGAAATTTTTTTTTAAAAAAATTGGTGAGATAAAGGTATCCAAGATAACACTTATATCCGAGATGTTGACTTGATCCTTATATTGATCTTGGACAGAGTCTTGGCCTTCTTGATAGTTGTTGATGTCTGCTCCTTGCTGGTTAGTGCCTCTGCTAGTTTCTTCTCAACTTTGACAGCTTTCTTTTCAACGGCCTTAGAAATGGCCTTGATAACTTGGTCATTTTGCTTCATATGCTTCTCTTCTAAGATGTTGAGTTGCTGGAGGCATGAACATGTTAGATTGACTATAAGGAGATGGATTGGATTTCATAGTTATGACATTAGGGATGTCAACAAGAAGGTCTTCTACAACAAGAGTTCAGCGAGACACGTTGTCATTGGTTACGGCGATAGTTACTCACAAATAGAACGATTAGAGGATTATCAAGGTCTAAGGCTGGGAGCTTAGGACCTCGGTGTTTCTTGTTCCTAGTTCTAGCTGTAAGATTCTCGCTATGTCGGTGGTTGCACTGCCATTGAGATGGTGGGTTGATGCGTGAAGTAGTTGATAAAGTGCTTGGCTACTAATCTGGTTTAGCTAGTAGAGTTTCAACCTTGGGCACGAATGGAGTATTCATAGTAATGAATGATTTCAAGAACAACAATGATGGTTTGCAAAGGCTGAGAGAGAGAGAGAGTCTGAGAACACAGAGAAAGATAAAATGGGATAGTGAAAATGTTTTGTTGGAATAGAAAAAGGTGACAGATTGTGATGATTCAAGTTTCTTGGGCGACATATGATGGCTGATGTTAGGTGACGTCTAATGGGGCGGCGTGTGTCAATTATGGGACATATTGGGAACCAATGAAGAGGTGACACGTCATGATGTTTGTATGACGGTTGAGATGACGGATTTCAAATCGCGGTGTTCATGAACTAGCGAGTTGCGATCTCGACTAGTAATTCGATCTCGGTTGAGATGTTGATCTTGGATGAAAGAATGTAGGTTCTTGATTCTTGATGCGTGGACACTTGAGTCCTTGTTTCTTGATGCCGACGAGCCATAATCTCGGTCGAAGGAGTATCTCTGCATGTTGTTTAGCTGACATATTGGAAAATCAGACAATATAGATTTTATCATCTCAGGTTGCTAAGGTAATATAACTTAGGGGGCAATTGTGGGGACATATTTTTTGGGTTATCCACGTGGCCGAAATTATTAGCTTGGGTGCCACGTGGATGGACCAAGTCGCCGAGATATGATGTGATTATATCTAAATTCGAGACATTTGAGGACAATAGTCCTAGATGACATCAAGCTACCTATTTGGATAGAGATGAGACTCTTGAGGAAGTTCATCTTAATCTAAATAGTGTAACTTATGATAAATGTTATCCTTGTAAGTAATAGAGTCCCATAAAGTAAGACTTTTAGGGAAAGTTAGACACTGATCATTATAAGAGTAAGGCACTCCCGTAGGTCTAAGGTATGTTTTTATTTGAGATGCTTTGACTTGTGCATTGAGTACTTATTTGATATCTTTGAGAGATAAGTTAACTGACTTGATCGTCAGAGTACCCCTGGATAGACGAGCCACCACAGTATTCTCATCTTCTTGTTGGCAGGTAGTTGGCTTAATCTATTCTACCGCATGCTTTCCAACTAAGTTTCTTATTTTTTTAGTTAGAAATCAATACTCACAGTATTCTATCACTTAGGAATAAAATCTAGATTCACAAGAGCCATAAAGCATCCTTCTAATTTCTACCAGGTTACGATAATTAGAGTGGAGAACCTAGTGTGAGATTTGGTTGCGACCTTTTACCTTGTGGTTTATAAACTGAACACCTATTGATTTGGCTTGTAAACCCAATTTTGACATATTGATTACATATTTCAATCATGTTAGATATCTCACTAATTATTAGACTTGTGTATTTACACTATAAATATGAAAAAGTATTACTATTCAGCCCCAAAAATTAGACTCAATTTATAGATTCAATGACGTAACACCCCATTAGCAAGGTATTTGGGATGATTTATATAAAGTATAACTTTTAACTTTTTATAAAAAGATGTGCGAAAAAATAGAGAGTTGATGTAAACTAAAAAAGATAAAAAAAAAAAAAAGTCCATTTTTGTAGAGGATGCCAAATAATGCTTAAATATCTAAGTCAATTCTCTCTCTCATTTATTTCTCTAATTATTAATCAACCATCTTGTTGACATATCACTGTATTTAAAAAGTGAGTTTGTTTATCATTTTCCAATATGAAAAGATTCGTCAAATAATGACATCATTTAATGAATTACCCAATTTCTATTAATCATACTAACATGCAAACTAACTAAAGATTTAGGCTAACCTTAGTCTTCAATAATTGGATCTCTTGAGACATGATGTCCATCTGCAAATGATAATTGAGTACGAAATCAATTCAATTATTCAGTTAATGGTAAGTAAAGAAAATTTAAGGGAAAATGTCAAATAAATAGTAAATGAAAAAACTAATAACAAATCAGCGTACACTTTGCAACTGGTTGCACTAGGTACAATTCTCGTCATTGTACTCCATTGATTTGTAGTTAGTTGCTTCATTTATATGATATTTCATAATTCAAATTGGAAAAGAATAAGTAAATACCTTTGCTGAGCGGATATGGTAAATCCAAATTTCAAGATGTTTTTCAAGCATGTGTAACTCGTCTAGTGTCATTGCTTCAACTCCCCCTCCAGACATAAACCTAAAAAATATTTGTTTATATAAACTTAAAGTCATTATAAATATAAAAGAGTTTGTAAATTTAGTATTTGATGATTATTGTTTCTCAAAAATCACTAGAATGAAAGTAAGATTTTACTGCTATTTTCCCCCCTTTCATCTCATTCAACAAATATAAGGACTTGAGTAACGCACTACAAAAAAATGAAGGTTTTAGAAACTAAAGTTTAAAGACAAAATTATTATTTAGGGACCAAATATTTTTGTTGTAAAAAATGTCATTATTATATTTTTAGGAACGAAAATTGGACATTAGTGATAAATTATTATCTTTTTGAGACCAAATTATTTTGTCCCTAAAAGTATATTTATTAGTGACATTTTCAAAATTTTGTCGCTTTTATTTTTAACTTTTCGGAACGATCTTCCAGTGACAATCTTGACGACGATAGAAATTAGATCCTAAATATCTTTTGTAACAAAATTTTCATTTTTAGAAATCAAAAAATTTAATCTCTTAAACTCTTATATGTTGTAGTAACATTATGATAAAGTGAGGTTTTGCTACATATATAACCTATTACTTCTTCTACTTTCATTTTCAAAAGTAACTTATATGTAGTTTGAATGTATTTAATTGTATTTAGTAACCGATTATATGTACATAATCTACATTAAGCTGTTTTTCATGCCTAATCTTATCACTATGTGGTCTGTTGTGGGTGGATAATTTTTTAATCCAGATAGTTTATCAGAGAGCTAACTAGACTTGTCATGTTATTTATTTATTTATTATTATTTTATTTTAATTTTTTTTAAGGAAAAGAAAAATGTTAAAATAATACTCTTCGTACCTGAGTCCCTTCTTCAGAAATTCAATTTCATTTTTCAGCATGTTGATCTCCTCTTTTGAGTCCTAGAAAAAAATAGGATATATAATTCGTTATCAAACAAATATCAATGGAGATTTTATGCCTGGTAGGTCAATAATGGAAGCGACCTATCTTTTGAAAACAGTAATAGAAAAATATAGAGAAAAGAAAAGAGACATTCATATGGTGTTTATTGACCTTGAGAAAACCTATGATAGAGTGCCCCGAGATATAATATGGTGGGTGTCAGAGAACAAATGAGTGAAAAAAGGTTACATTGATATGATTAGGGACATGTATGAAGAGGTGATGACCACTATTAGATCGCCTGCTGAAAAGACAAATGAATTTCCTATCACTGTAAGGTTACACAAAGGATCTATCTTAAATCCTTATCTTTTTGCTTTAATTATGGATGAGTTGACGAAAAATATTCAGAATAACGTGCCATGATGTATGCTTTTTGCAAACGATATCATGCTAGTGGATGAGACTAGAGAAGGAGTTAACACAAAGTTAGAAATTTGGAGAAAAACCCTTGAATTTAAAGGATTCCGGATAAGCAGAACTAAGACAGAGCATATGAAGTGTAAATTTAGGCCTAGTTTGGGAAGACTAAATAAGTGCACTTTTTGAGTTTTTATGAAATATGGGTTGGGTTTGAAGTGATGTGTTAGAGAGGTGATGTGACTTAAATAAGATGATGTGACTTAAATAGGATAGTGACTTTTTGACTTTTTGTCTTTTTTCAATCATGCCAAACTTGGCGTAACAGTAACAATGAAAGTAGATGAGAAGTGAAAATTGAGAATTAAGAACTGTCTAAGAGTGAACATTTTGTTATTTAGGGTTGATTGTCATAACAGCGGGGAGATTGGTGCGGATGTGGCCTATAAGATTAAGGCATGATGGTGTAAGTAGAGAAGTGCGTCTGGGGTACTATGCAATAAATGAATACCCACTAGACTAAAAGGTAAGTTCTATAGAACGACTATTAGACCAGCGATGTTGTATGAGACAGAGTGTTGGGCAATCAAGAAACGACATGCAGATAAGATGAGTGTAGCTATGATGAGGATGTTAAGGTGGATGTGTGGCAAGACTAAACAAGACAAGACAAGACAAAATTAGGAATGAGTGTATTCGGGAATGGGCAGGGGCATGGGCAAGGGCAGAAGCACATGAAGCCCAGAGGGGTTACGTGCCCCCCCTCTCAACTTTTGGGAAATTATTCTCTTGCCTCTAATAAAAATATATATTTGAATTTAATCCAAGTAATATCTTGAAATTTTTATATCACTATTTTCTTTACTTTTTTTATATAAAAAAATGTTTAATTTATCACTTTAAATGTTTAATTATGCTAAAAAAAATTCTTATAAATTTTATAGTAAAGAAATATTATGTATCATTGATATTTTGTTACTGTTTTATATCACCTCTTATACGACAAATAATTATTACACAATTAATGACAACTAATAATATATTACCTTGTAATTCAATTATTCAAAACGGGAAAAAAAATAAGTAATATATAATAGCCTCTGTATATTATTTATTCATCTTTTTCTCATTTCTTTCTCTATATCTCTTTATGTGTGTGTGTGTGCATCTTAATATAATTTTGTTCTTATATTTTATGAGGGTATATATAATTATTTTTTAAACCGTGATGATTATCATATATAAAATAAATTAATAACAATAAAGATAATGATTAGTTAACTTGATCTTATATTTAAATATAACTTCTGTATCACACTAATTTTTAGTCTTACCATCAAATAAAAAATTAAGTTAAATTATGAGTTTTGTTAAGATTTTAATTCAAATGTGCCCCTTCTTTCTGAGCCAAAATCCTGGCTCCGTCACTGGGAATGGGCAGGAGTAACACTGATAGAAGATAAGTTGAGAGAGAATCGATTGAGATAGTTTGGTCATATTCAACGGAGACCAATAGAGATAGCAGTGAACAGATGCGATGTTATAACAATAAATGAAAGTGTTAGGAGACGGGATGTGCCTAGATTAACGTTGGCTAACGTTGCAAATAAAGATATGAATCTACTTAATTTGACTAATAAAATGGTCTTTAATAGGGCCACGTAGAGAAGAAGTATTCATATAGCCGATCCCATTTGATAAAACTTAAGGTTTGGTTTGGTAATACTTTAATCAAGATTAATAAATAAATATAAAGAAATTGAATTCAATTAAACTGTGGGATGTGCATTATTGGAAAAAAAAAAGTAAATAAATAACAAGAAAGAATATATTTCTTTTCTTTTTTTAAAAAAAAAAAGAAAAAAAAGAAAAAAAAAGAGATGAACAGATAGCTTGAGTAAAAAGAAAAAATAATGTTACGTGTTCAAGATGCCATGGCTCTACTGTTTTCCTTTGTCTACTCAATGGATACAAGTTTTCTTATTCTCCTTTATATAATGGTTTGTTCCTTTAATAACTTCCACCAACGTGTCGATTATATGGGTGAAGTATATTTCAAATTTATGAAGAATATAATGATCAGTAGAGCTTTATTGAACCTTCCCAACCAATAAATTTTATTATCCGCCTTGCAGATATTATTTTCTAATGTGCAAAGACAATTATATTGGAGAACCAGCATCTGATCCAAAGACCATTATAAAAATGAAAATAAAAAATTAATAAATAAGGACAAGAAGAAGAAAAAAAAGGCCCTGATTGGTTCCACCAACACAATAATTCCAAAGACCTTGAGACTTGAGAGGCTAATGTTATGGTTTTTTTTATTTTTTTATTTTTTTGGTTTTAATTATTTTTTCAAAAATATGTTGTGTAAAATGCTTGGAGAGATGAGATGAGATGAGATGAGATGGTAAGGAAGGATCACATACCATAACTTGCTTTTCTTCATCGTGGTCGGCCTGAGTGTCTCCGGTTGATTTCATGTACCTCCCAACAAGCCCTTGCATGGTTCTTTCATATATACAATGAAAAAAGAAACAAAGTAAGAAAGATTATTTCTACGATAAAAACAAAGTCAGCAATTGAATAATACTAGTTTGTGAAAAAAGAGAGACTATAGTATAGTAAAATACCCTTTAGTGGAGAGTTCGTAGAGCTTGCCATTGGCAGAGAAAATGAGAACAGCAATTTCAGCATCACAAAGCACAGAGAGCTCCTTAGCCTTCTTAAGAAGCCCAGCTCGGCGCTTGCAGAAGGTGACTTGTCTGTGCACCGGGTTTTCGATCCTCTTCATCTGAACCTTTCCTCTAGCCATAACAATATATATATATATATATATATCTACAAGTTCTACTGTTCTTTTTCTTTTTTTGTTTTGATTGCTGTGTTTTGTGTGTGCTTCTCTGCAGACAACCTCCCACTAGTTTGAACTAGCTTCGAGGTGCTGCAATATCCCTCCCTCCTTAGTTTATCTGTGAAAGCTTGACTGTCCCGTACCAGGCCTTGGCTCCTTTATATGCATGTACACCCCTAGTGAGTGAATGTTTCTCTCTCCTCTCCTCACTCTCTTTCGCTCTCAGATGAGAATCATTTGGTTGGCATCCCTTTCCACATCACTTAGGTGTTTTTTTTTTTTTTTTTTTTTTTCTCTTTCTTTCTTTCTTTCTTATAAATAATATATAGAGAAATGTTAAGCTATGATCGATTTTTTTTATTTCATTTTATATCACCTTCTACATATATACTCATGAGTGATTCTTTTGTTTAAAAATAATTATTAAAAACTTAATGATTACAAATAATATATTACCACAACTGATATATAAAGATGAAAAAAAAAAATTTATATAATAATATATATATTTGGTTCTTCTTGTACTTGTCATGTCTGACATTACTGGTTTTTTTCTTTCAAAAAGACAATTTCACCTTCTTAGAGGGTGAAGAGGCAGCGAATGTGGAGACAGCCAAAAGCGTTTAATGTGTTTTTAATTATTAAATTATATCTCTCGATTCTAAAATTTTTTTTATATGATTTCATAATTAAATATATATTTTGACATAATATCAAAGAGTAAATGTGACAAATTGGTGATAATCTTTTACATTCAAAAAGATTTTCACCCATTAGTGATTTTTAATTTTTAATTTTTATCTTCTATTCTAAACTATTAATATCCCTTAGACAAAAAATTAATAATGAAGAAGAAAGAATCTTACATATAAAATAATCCAAGGATTCAAATTCTGAAAGTAAAAAAGAATGACTTTTCTGAATAGATATATAGTATCACTGGGGGCCAAACATCATGGAGGAGAAGTTTAAAGTGGGGCAGCTCATACATATAGATATAACCACATGATTTATGCAAGCTTACTCAGCATCATGCAATTGCTTTTTCCCATACATGTGCAGCCCATCAAAGCTCTTACTAGTGGGATCACTTCTACAATCTTAGAAAAACAAACTCAAAAAAAATATTTAAAAACTGTAATTAAATGTGTAAATTGATTT